AAAAAAAAAAAAAAAAGATTAAAATGCTTAAAACTGTTACAGAATTCATGTCTCACAGACTTGTAGGGACCTTGTGGAGAGACAGATTTTTTTATGACAGAGATGATCTAACTACTTCATATACATGTTTATTCCATGCACCAAGACTGATTATTTCCCATTTAAAAGTAAGCATAAAGCATAGATTTAAATGGTCGCTATTAAACTCCTCCAGATCTACTGTCTGAATCATGACATTTCAGCCATCAGAGGGAACCTCACTTATCTTGTTCAGAACTCAACCTGATACTCAGACCTGTCAGATTAAACCTAGAGTGGCAGAAAGGCCCTCGCACACTAGGAGGTGAGGAGGCGGCTGCTCGGAGCTCGCCTGCACCTTTGGTGATAGAGCAAGCAGTAGCACTGTCCTGGAGGAGCGCTCCGGCCCTGGTGCTTTCTTTAATTTTCCTCGTCTGTTCTGCCCATCTAGTTTTGGGGTCAGCACTTTCACCTCTATGTTCAGAGCATTTTCTGGAGAGCCAGGAAGAATAACAAAGTTTTTAAATGAGAAATATGCAGTATAGTAAAATCTATTTTTGAGTCCATCTGTATTGAAAGAATACATGTCAATAAACGATTACTATTCTGTGGATTTACAGAGGTGTCTGTTGTGTGCAAACCTGTATTCAGCAGCTGTGTGTCCTCTTTGGGTGCAGGTGACCTGTATAAGCAGGTGTCATATTGCCATAGGGTAGTAGCTCTGCTTTTTCTGAAGAGGGAGTGTCTTTCACTGCAGTTTGCAGGGGGTGTACCAGAAAACTGTCTGTTGCAAATGCTTCAGAATAATGAAAATAACCTACACTGTCCCTAAAAATCCAGGCCAATGCATAAGACCTTGCTCCATCCCAGAAACCTTTCCAAAAGGCTTTTCTTATCAGTGAACTGAGAAAGTAGACCAGATTAGAAGTTCTGGTGTATTTTATATTGCTTTACAGAATCAGCTTTATGAAGAAATCTGTTTTAATGGATTAAAAACAGGAAACCTTGCCTTAGATGCCTATAATCCAATTTCACCTAAAATGAAAAAGAGATTGTTTTCAATGTCATTTAGTTTTTTTGTTGTTTTTCTAAGTTTCTGCTTATTCCCAGGTCCATAGGGCTATGGAAATGTGAATAGATTTTTTTATTCTCCGTCCCTGGACAACAGCCTCCAAACTGGCAGTAGTCTTTTAGCTGTAGCATCTCAAGGTCCATGATATAGGAAGGAAAAAAACAAACCAACCAAGACTTTTTTGTCAGTGTTTTCCAGATTGAGTTTCCTATTTTGACAATTAGCATCTCCCTTAAAATGAAAACATTCTAAGTGAAGGAGGAAAGAACAACAACTAACTACTCCCTGTGTAGATTAAAAGTGGGACCAGTCGCATGCGTTCAGAAAAGGGGGATAATTATCTGCCTTCTTCTGGAAGGGACATTACTGGTCATTCTCTTTCATTTGAGTACTAGGATCAGAGGTGCTAGGCTTCTTACCAGTTTGTAATTCCTCTTGTGGATACAAGTGATTATTAGAACTGAGGACTTTGTTGACAATGCAGTGAGCAAATATAGGCACGTAGCCTTTTTGTACAAATTTCTGAGGTGTACTTTCTAACAAAGTTTTTCTTCATTTTTTAAAGTTCTTTTTTCCTTTTTTTTTGTCTACCTGGGTCAAGAAGATCATCTTCGAGATCTGAAATTCTTCTGCTTGCTGTAGCCTGCTGCTTAAGCTCTCTGTTGTGTTTTTTATTTCATTGAGTGAAATCTTCCATTTCTAGGAGTTCTGCTATATTCTTTTTTAAGGTATTAATCTCTTTGTAAATTTCCTCTTTCATATCCTGGATATTTTTTCTTGTTTCATTGTGTTCTCTAATTGAGTTCTTCTCTCTCTGAGTTTTCTTAAGATCATTGCTCGGGATTCCTTTTCAGGCATTTCAAGGTTTTCTGGCTCTATGGTGTCTGGTACTTGAGAATTACTGTATTCCTTCAGTGGTGTCATATTTTCCTGTTTATCCGGAGTTCTAGTATTTTTTTGTTGTTGATGTTTGGTCATCTGGTAGGGTACTTGTTTCTTCTATTACTCGAGTGGGCTGTGAGAAAAAAGACTTCCTCCTCTATTTGTAGGCTCTGCTGGTGACTCTTCTTGTATCGGCGCAGTTGAGTGTGCAGTGGGGTGCCTGTAGGGTGGCCCTGGATGCTACTGTGGTGGTGAGTCACCCTTGCAGTGGCAGTAGGTGTGGCAGTGGCTGTGGTTAACCACCTTGGCTCCTGGTCGTGCGGAGGGCGGGCCTCTCCAGGGCTCCGGTGTGGGCCCAGGGCTGTGGCACACAGGATGGAGCTCACCTCAGCTCCTGGTTGTGTGGTCTGTAACCAAGTTTATTTAAACTTCTCTGCACATGTGTGTATGTATGTGTTTTCACTGGAGAAGAGACTGAAAAAAGGTAGAGAAATTTGAGTCACCCTCAGACTCCATCTGTGCTAGAAAATGGGCTGTCAAAGTAATATATTCAGAAAGACATAAAGTAGCCCTTTTTCTTTCTTCCAAGAGTGATAAGTATGACATGATATGGAGTTACAGCAAAGACAAACAGACTACAGAGGCCTCCAGGTTAATTTTTTCTTTAATTTTGTGTTTGTTTGTAGTGCTCTTCATAGCTGCCATGATATAGTTTTACGAAGAAGCTACTTGGGAAGTTGGGGCTTTAGTATTGTTGGTGGATATGAAGAGAACCACACCAATCAGCCTTTCTTCATTAAAACTATTGTCTTGGGAACTCCTGCTTATTATGATGGAAGATTAAAGTGAGTCTTGTTCTAATTACTGATGTGATTCATGTTTGTTATGCTGGATGGGATATGGACCAGGGATCAGCATCAAATTCAGACTGCTGTTTTGTAAATAAAGTTTTATTACAGCACAGCCATGCTCACTGGTTCATGTGCTGTCTGAGGCTGCTTCCACGCTACAGCAGCAGAGTTGAGTCATTGTGGCAGAGACAGTGTGCCTAAGATATTTACCATCTGGCCCTTCACAGGAGAATTTTGCTGACCCCTGATCTAGACTGAAGCATTATCTTTACCCTCTTGTCACTTACAGCTATAGTTTTATTTATCTAGTGACAGGAACTAAACCTGAGTCATTTGAGTGGACACATTGTGACGTGACAATGAGCTCTGAGCAATTTTTCCACATAACCTTCTCAAGTCCCATCCTGTCATTAGATGACTCTGCTTTATTTTTCTCCACAGCACTCATCTACCTGACATTGTATTTACGCAGGCTCCATGAGGGAGGGATTTTGTTGCATTTATTGTTATATCCCTAGCAACCGTAACAGTGCCTTACATATAATAAAATCTCAATAAATATTTGATGAATGAATGTTCCATAGCTCACAGTGTGCCTTACAGTGCCAAGTGCTGTGCATGCATTACTTAATCTTAACAACCCTATGAGGTAAGTGCATTATTATTCCTGTTCTGCAAACAAGATAAGTCAGGATTGGAGAGGCTAAGAAACTTGCCCAAGATCAAACAGCTGAGGGTGGTTAGCTGGCATTCCAACCCAGGACTGTCTGACTGCAGAGCAGTAGCCTTTAACCCCTCTGCTAACAGCCACCACTGGGCAGAAAGTACTCTCTCAACCAGTGTGCAGCTTCTTTTCAAAGCTCAGGCACTGGGAGAAGAAAGAGAAAATGTCACGTTAAGAGATTGTCACCAACAGAGAGGGGATGGGTGGTTGTAAGTTCTCAGTGCCTAGTTTTTGGTGGAAGAACTAGTTCTTAAAAAGTAAATGTTGACATACTAGTCAGAATGCTGCACAAATGGAGAGTTTACACTGTTTGCAAAGAGAAAGTGACATCTAAATAATATTGTGAAAAGTTGATTAGGAGTAGTATGTTCCAGATCAGCCTATATTGATAAAGAGGAAAAAATCATAATTTTAAGTAGGAAAGAGTAGAGATAAAATGAATTAATCATTCTCTTAGTTAAGTTACTTGACTAGTTTCGGCCTCAGTTAATTAATTTATAATTTGCATTCCACCTACTTCCAAAAAGAAATCGAAGTATTTAACAATAAAATAGCATATTCATTCATGTTACAAACTAAAGACCAAAATACATAAGGATAATTATGATTATAATTATCATAAAGATAGAAAGGTCTCAGATTCATCATCCATTTGTTACAATTCTGCTTAGAGGACAGTGAGTGGCAGTAGCTGAAAGAAGAGGAAGTATGGGTCTTACTCAATTTAATTGCAACCTTCAGATGTATGAGCTCTAAAAATGAATAGAGAAAGAACAGTCCAAATAATAACCAACCCTCTCCAAATGCATGATTTGGTGTTTTTTTAAAGAGAGAGCAAATTTACTCTCCTGATTGTATTTTGCTTAAGCTAATATGAAAATTATTCTGCTTGTTCTAAAAATTCACTTACCAGTTGTGGGAGGGGTTGGCACAGGGGTATCCTTGGTTGGCAAGGGAAAGCCAGCATATGCTTAAACATTGTCCCAGATGTTTCTCAAAGTAGATAATAAACCCTAGTCATTGATCTCCACATTATTCTGCTTGTTCTAAAAATTCACTTACCAGTTGTGGGAGGGGTTGGCACAGGGGTATCGTTGGTTGGCAAGGGAAAGCCAGCATATGCTTAAACATTGTCCCAGATGTTTCTCAAAGTAGATAATAAACCCTAGTCATTGATCTCCACGCTTAACAAATCTCAATTGAGGTAATGTTTTTAATACCATGAAAATAGTAACATGCTGTTTCTATTTCTGTTTGTCTAGGTGTGGAGACATGATTGTGGCTGTAAATGGCCTGTCAACAGTGGGCATGAGCCATTCTGCATTAGTTCCAATGTTGAAGGAGCAGAGGAACAAAGTCACTCTGACAGTTATTTGTTGGCCTGGCAGTCTTGTGTAGATTTTTGAAATTGGTTTTGAATCTCGCATCTTTCTTTTTTGGGTTTTTGAAAGAAAATCCTTTGGTTTCATTGTGTTTCTGGTTGTTAGGAGCTACTGACACACAGCTGGTATACACAGGGCCAAAAACCACTAAAATTGTTCTTTTGTTTTTATTTAAATGGTTTCCTATTAGCTACATTTCTTTTAGCTTGGAAATAGTCTTCCACTAACCATTGTGAGTTTATATTTTCAGAATTCAGACTCTCAGTTGTCAAAATGCTACCTATAATAATGAATGCAACCCACCCAAACTGTGACCCAACCAGGTGGATTAAAGAACTTCTGGTCATTATTTTCAGTAACTGCATCATAAAATGAGTTACGTATCCCCCAAGACTGGTGTCAGTGAAGTCAGTCACAATAGCATCTACTGCCACCATCAAGCCAATGCCACGAATAGATAGATTTTAAATTGGGGTGGTTATTGTCCCCATTTTTCATTGGTGCCAACATTTCAAAACTTCATACCGTTTATGAAGTGATTTTCTGGTTTTTTTTTTCTACTGCAAACTCTCAGTGCTCATAGATAATGAAGACATAAGTCTGACACCACTGAAGAGATTTTTTAAAAATAATGTACTGTTATTAGAATAGTAGAGAATAAAAGGTGATGTTATCCAATGACAAAGGGATTTGGAAGATAATTATAGTTTAGTGCTAGAGATGGGAAAAGATCGTTGACTTGAACAGTCTAAAAGCATTAAAGGTTCATTTCCAAAGGAGTGTTTTGTTCTATAGGAAAATTTTGAAGCAGATTTTGCTAAAAATCATTTCTAGACTTTGTATCATACTTATCAGCTGATTTATACAATTAAACTAGATAATAAAGATAAAACCATATTGCTGTTAAATAAACACACATATATCACCCTAAGTAGGAGAAGGGAGACCACCTTATTTTATTTTTATTTGATTCAGATAAGAGTCCTTGAGTGTTTAGAAACCCTTATTTTTCCCATTATTTCTTATGAACTTGTTTCCAGTAAGAGACTGAAAAGTTCTGGTTTTTATCTGTAGTCGTAGATTTTAGATGTTAATATCTGTCAGTCAGCTCTTGGTCACTAAGCTATTTCATATATTTTGAAATGTTATTCAAAACTATGACTAACCCATTTTGTTTGTCCTTTATTCAACATGGTTGTCCTTTGGAGAGCTCAAAGAAGTGAATAAGAGAAAAATGTCTTTACCTTCTTCACATTAAGATACTTGAAAAGTTTCATTTGGAACCTCGTATAACTTCGTATAATGTATGCTAGATCTGTATTGACTCTTGGAGTTTTTACCTACACAGTGCCTGTAGACCTGCTTTATCCAATACATGATGCTGTTGAGTACCTGAGATGTGGCCAGTGCTACGTGTTTAAATGATAAAATATGTTATTAAAATAACATGTAAAATTGACTTCACCAGGCTCTTTACTTTTTCTAATGTGGTTACTAGAAAATTTTAAATTGCATTTGTGGCTCACCTTATATTTCAGTTAAATGGCCATGGCCCCCTCACCTCTTTATTGTCATAGCATTTGCCAAGGCAGGCAGTCCTGACATTGTGGTTTCTGTTCTTCCTATGGCTTTGATCATTCCTTGCATGAAAACCAAAATTTTATTAACAGAGAAAGTTGTCTTCTGATTTTCTAGTGAATTAAGTTCAAACCAAGGCCTCTGTGGTCTGACCCCTAATCCAGTGTTCCAGATGGCTTCACAACCCCATCCACCCTCTGTTACTCCAGCAGGCTCCTCAGAACCCCCTAGCTCCTGCTTCCAACACACGCTCATAGTATTTTCTTGAGCAGTAGTGCTTTCCCTTCTCTGCAAGTTCACATTGTTCCCATGCTCGGAGGCACGACTTGAATGCTGCCCCATCTACCTCCCTCGACTTCACTCCCCACTGTCCCTCTTGGATGAATCTCAGTCGGCCTTTATATTTCCATGTATAATGGCCTCATCACTTGCTCCCTAATTATTGTCATAATTTTAAGCTACGTTTGACAGCCATCTTGCAATTTTGACTACCACTGACGCCCTAATCTGCAGCCCCACAGTTAATAGACTGAATATCCTGTTGCTTTAGGGCACCTAGATCTCAGCACCTCCAAAACTGCAATCTGTGTTTTCCCGAGCATTTGCCTACTTCCAGTTTCTCTGTCTTTCAGTCCAAACTCTTTTGCCCTCAGAGTAACTTTTCTAAATTCCAACTCGGATCATATCCTTGCTCTATTTAAAAATCTTCAGTGGTTCAACATTGTCTACAGGACAAGGTCAAAATGGCTTGATGCAGCACAAAAGGGTCTTCAGGTCTTCATGCCTCCCCCTGGAGCCTTATTT